CACATATAGTACCAATAGTAATGGTATAAGCCTAGGCGCTTTATTTTAAGTAAGAATAGCATTTATTATTTATTTTATAGTATTACAGGCTAATATTATTATAGGTCTATATTATTAATTATTAGGTAGGGTTGTCGTAGTAAGTTTGAATAAGCATTAGATACTAATGAGTATTTTGTTTATATTTCACTGCAGGTGCCTAAAAGTAAGCAGATGACAGAAAAGAATCCAGCCAAAGTCAAGAATGATGGCTAAAAGCAGATGACAGAAAAGAATCCAGCCAAAGTCCAGAATGATGGCTCAAATTGCTCATAGGAATTCAGCTCACTTGGAAAAATTGCAACAGGAGTCAACAAGCGGATTAAACTACTCTGAAGTGCCTCTGCCACCTGTCACTCCACTACAATCTGCGTCATCCTCTTCAACTGCATATTCAGATCTCTCAGCATCCAGAAAAAAACTGGCATATTTTGCTAATATTACAACTCCAATAAAAGAAGCAACACAGCCTACAACAATTGTAGATTTACAGTGCTTAGAATCTCTCGTTACAGGACTGAAATGCTCCGACTGTGGCAGCAGTCAATTAGAGTTACGGAGTGACCCCCAGCGAATTTAAGGCCTAGCTGTTTGCTTATCGATCTTCTGCCTGGATTGCGACTCAGTTACGTCAGAAGCATTTACTTCAAAAAAGTGCTCTAAAAAATGTATGAATTGAATAGAGCACTAGTGTTTGCATCACTCTATATTGGCATCGGCTATAACAGCTTAGCCGAACTTTCAGAACTTATGGACATGGAGATGATGACATCACAGTCATACAATGACCACGTCAAAGCTATTGAAAAGGCCATGATGGCAGAACTTGCTTCTATTTTTGCTGAATCTGTAGCTCAAGTCAAGTCCTCAAACTCAAATGATAGAGTTCATGATACAGCTGTAAGCTATGACGGCACTTGGGCGAAACGTGGTCATACTTCAAAACTTGGTGTGGGTGTGGTCATTGATGTCACAACTGGTCTGGCTTTAGACTGCCATGTAATGTCAACATATTGTCAGGTAAGTTTCAACTAAATGTATTTTGTGGTCTAATTTTTTGGTCACAATTAGACTAAAATATATATAATTATAATAATATAAATAATAATTGTTTTTATGAATTATCTATTCAGCAGTTGTACCACTGTTGGAGACAGCATGAGACTGGCTTGCCCACAGAAATACTCTACATGGTTTGAAGAGCACAAACAAAATGCTCTAAAAACTTCTCAGGTTCATCCGGAGCAATGGAAGTGGAGGCGGCTAGAATTATGTGGGGCAGAAATGCTGCACGAACTGCGGTATACAACTCTTGTGTCAGGTGGGGACACAAAAACATTCTCCGCTCTCTCTGAAACCAGGCCTTATGGGAGGACAGACATTGCAAAGCAAGAGTGCATCAACCATGTGGCAAAAAGGCTCAACACAGCGCTTCGTAATCTGGTCAACACAGAAAACAAGAGAGGTGTCAGGCTAGGTGGAGCACAACTTGGAAATTTAACACAGGTAATTTAAATATATAAACATAGTGCTAATGAAATGTTGTGCATGTATTATTGATTTTAGCCCTAGTAATTAGTAACAATATTTAAGTTCATTAGTATAAGAACAAGCAGTGTCTATAATTTTATCATTTTTTTCTTCTTATTTATTATTATCAGACCAAGATGGGACTTCTTCAGAGCTACTACACCAAGGCAGTCAGGACATATAATTCCTCTGTTGATGAATTGAGCGAATTTTTTTAGCGCTGCATTCTATCACTTAACATCAACAGATGACTCTCCCAAGCACCAAAAATGTCCTTCAGGACCAGAATCATGGTGTTTCTTTCAGAGAGCCATAGGGAAAGATCTCACCATCCCTTCTCACAAAGGTCGGCTTACAACATATTTAAACCCAAAAGTTTCCCCATATGTAAAAGAAATTTACATAAGGCTGACAGAGCCTAAGTTGTTAGAAAGGTGTCTTCTAGGTAAAACTCAGAACACCAATGAAAGCCTTCATGGAATGATATGGAATAGATGCCCAAAACATCTGTTTTCTGGACTAACTAGAGTGAAAATAGCCACAGCTTTTGCTGTTGGTGAGTTCAATCAGGGGGCTGTGGCAACACACAGGTTCCTTACTGCTGTGGGTTGTGCAGTTACAAGTAAGAGTGTAGAAATGGAGGCTAGAAGAAATAACAAGCGGATAAAAAAGGCAGACACTGCTATTCTCGAGGTGTCTAAAACACGTAGAAAAATTAGAGAAATTGCAAAATTAAAAGAAAATGAGTCCCATCAGAAAGAAGAGGGTTTGTCTTAATTTAGTTTTGTGACTGTGTTTCGATTCTGTAGTTGAGATTGTGCTTATGGGTTAGTGTTAATTTAGATAGTCTTACTTTATGATTGTTTTGTGAAATTTAATTTTTGGGTGGCATAATAATTTTTATATTTCTTTATGTTGAATGCATTTTGTAATATTTGAATTTGTAACTCATTATTAGCATTTTATATGATTAGTTCATTGCAATCTATTTTATCTTTATACAACCATTCATGTGTATATCAAAGTATAATAAAGGAATAGATGTATACACACACTGGTATAACCAATAAAGGGTTAAATAATTTTTTTCATGTCATCCTGTAAAATTATCAGTAAAAAATTTAAATGTTTACATTGTGCTTTCATTTCAATAAACCTTTTATTACCTATGTTTGTTGTTATTAAAATAACAGGTTTGAAAACCATAGAATAAAGTATTTGAATGATATCTTGATTCAAAGTTGTTTTCATTGTTTTTCTCCATTCTTTGTTTTTGTATTTTTTCAACACCGTGCACGGTGTAGTTTTTTTGTCTTTAGAGATTAAGAGTTGAAATTTGGCACAGATGTAGCTAATAATATTTACTATGCTCCCATGAGAGGATTTTATTGTATCTTGTCTGGTTTATTTTTAAAATATTTAATAAAATTAAACTCTATGTAATTACAGTTAACTGTTATTTTTCATGATCCTCAAGGATCAAAGACATTTTAAAAAGTATTTGATTTACATGAAAATACTCTCTTGGAGTCATCAATAATATCATAAAGATCATCTTTACCAAGTTTCATCATTGTGACTGCGATAACTTTTTAGTTATGATGATTCTAAATTATCATTAAAGAATTACATAATCATAAAATAATTTAATTTAAAAAAAAAACTGTAAATTTTTTTTACAGTTTTTCAGCTATTGAAATCCAAATGTGTACACCAAACATAAAAATTTTAATTAAATCTTGTAATTAACGAAATTAGTTTGCAGCCTGTGAACCCCCCCCACCCCCCCTAAATATGGAAAGTTACAGTGCGAAATGTCAGGAAGTTTCTAATAATTGTAAGAGCAAAAATGTGATACTTAACATAAAGATCAGTATTATCCATTGATAAGTTATGCACTGCAGGATATTGTGTGTGTGGGGGGGGGGGGGGGATTTTGGGGATTTAGCTTGAACCAAACTTAATATGTAATGATTATATTAAGTTATTTTCACTTGGTGGAGCAAACATTTGTCCTTAGTTAAAACTACAACGCGCCACCCCCGGTTTGTGTGTGTGGGGGGGGGGGGGTGATTTTGGAGATTTAGCTTGAACCAAACTTAATATGTAATGATTATATTAAGTTATCTTCACTTGGTGGAGCAAACATTTGTCCTTAGTTAAAACTACAACGCGCCAGCCCAGGTACACGAAATTCTGACAAATTTATTTTCGGATGTTCGTGTTTCTATTGTGACTTAATACAAATTCTGGCACAAGCTCACGGGACACAGTGGGAAAGAATGTGTTTGTGTATGTGTGTGGCGGTTATTGTACATTTTAAACAAGTGATTGATAGGGTGGACTTTTCATTGACCAATTCCTATACCTACCAAAGGATGTTGTGTACTTTGAGAGATTTCTTACGACCAAGCTTACAGTGATAAGGTACGCATGCATTTTTGTAGTGGGATGGTAATACTGTCATGATGTTTTCATTGTAGACATGGCCACTTAAAAAATACTTCACACAAATGTAAGAGATATTCTTGCCTAATTAAGACTTGTCCTGTTTTAATGTTGCTGACTTCAAGAGATAGTGTTGATGTATGTATCCATACATCATTTGTGTTCATTTTTATATTGCACAATATTATATTGACATTTTAGCATTGTTCCTTGTTTTGTAAAAAAAAATAAAAATATATATCTATAAATATAAAACGTACCTGTGTTGAAGCTGATAAATTGTTTTTAAATTTAGTTTTTATTTCAATAAATTTAAGATTGTTACCGACTGTCCTTATAAGGATTTTTCAGACCCAAATAAAAAATTGGGCAAATGAAGATCAGTTTTTACTTTACATTTATTATGATTTAATGCACCATATTAAAGATTGTCCTTTCCTGGTCTTCAAATGTGCAAAACTATCAATCAATTGATCAAAATAAATTTCCTTTATCGTATCAATGTCAATTGATAGGAGAGCTAGATCAGAAAGCCTTGGCTGGCCTAACATGAATTGTAAACAGTTCTTCAGTTCTTATATGCTTTGGTTTTGGAAAGGTCCGCTCACATGAAGTCATAGGCACACATATCGTAAGTTAACAATCTAAGGCTTAGCGAGAGCGTTGGAAGAGATTCTATGAAGTCTCATTCAGCTATGAATTTCAAAACTCAAATACTGACCAGTCCAATGACTTTGTGAAATTCAATATCAGCTGGCTTTAGGTGTCGCCCAAGGTATTTAGGTATTTCATGTAAAAGTTCATCTTCTGAGAACTCACCATAGAAAGAGTTTATTTTGGACGCGGACACCTTATTACTCTTCTTCATTTGCTGACAGTAGACTCTTGGTTTGAACAACAATTTTTCTTGAATTTTATTTCACATTAGATTAATGTAAAAGGTCATATATATATGTGTGTTCTAGTAGGTCATATATATATGTGTGTTCTAGTAGGTCATATATGTGTTCTAGTGCATCATATATATGTATTCTAGTAGACCATTTCAAACAAACGTTTCCTTCATGAACATGAGGAACACCTGCTCCAGGGTGGTTTGTTGCACGGTGTAGAACTGAAACTTGTATTTCTGTTTGGCTTGTTCCAGAGTGGAGAACAGAATGGACAGCGGAACACTGTCCGACACCTGAAGGTGAACGTAGGCTTCTTGTGTGGCAAAGACCTGATGATAAACATAAACAAACAAAATGTATTGTAGCTTTTTTTTTCCACCCCAATATTTTATGATTAAGATCTTTTATCAAATGCAACCTTTCTTTACTTCATAAAGTTGCGACATTTTGGACAAAAATAAAAAGAGTTAAAAAAAAACAACAAAAAAAATTAAAAAAAAACAAAACAGGAGCTTCATTAATCAAATCTCTAAGATTTACAATGAATCCAAGAAGTCTGGATTCAGCATTAAGAAATAATTTTTAAAAATAATCACGATTAACCCTTAGTACAACAGCAAAAAGGAGATGTATGATTAGCCCACAGTACAACAACAACAAAGAGATGTACGAGTAGCAAGTACAACAACAACAAAGAGATGTATGAAGAGCCCACAGTACAACAAGGAGATGTACCAGTAACCCACAGTACAACAAGGAGATGTATGAGTAGCCCACAGTACAACAACAAGGATATTGTTTTTTCAAACCTTGAGAAGCTGGCAATGACCGACGACTAAATAAAATGAGTTGGAAAGTAAACCGTGGACGGGCTCTGTGTTGTGGGAGGGAAGGAAGTTCGTTTAATGCAGCCCCTCCCCCAACGTTACCTGTGATTTTTGTAACGCATGAACCACGAATTTATGAGCTTCATCCAGTTTTAAGACCTTGCCGTGTTCGTCTACACTGGCCCGTATGACGACGGTGTATCCTTGCCCGTACTTGTTCTTCAGGTGCTGGGGACTGCCCAGGCAGAGTATTCTCCCCTTGGCCATTATGGCTATTCTAGTGCATAATGCCTCGCATTCCTCCATACTGAAATAAAAATTTATCAAATATATTGTTTATCATTGTGTTTTGCCTGCCTCAATGATGAATAGAACTAAGTTGTCCACTAATTGAGCTGTATCTAGAACAGAACTAAGTTGTCCACTTATAAAGCTGTATCTTGAATAGAACTAAGTTGTCCACTAATAAAGCTGTATCTAGAATAGAACTAAGTTGTTCACTAATAAAACTGTATCTTGAATAGAACTAAGTTGACCACTAATAAAGCTGTATCTAGAATAGAACTAAGTTTACCACTAATAAAGCTGTATCTTGAATAGAACTAAGTTGACCACTAATAAAGCTGTATCTTGAATAGAACTAAGTTGACCACTAATAAAGCTGTATCTTGATGTTTCCATGAAAAAAAAAAAGACATTTTTTTGGGAAACCATCAGTCTTCAAGAGATGTCATAAATTTGTACTGGAAATGTCTTGAGAGATTAAAACGAAAAAATGTCTTTAGAAGATGCCTGTTTGTCAACTGGAGAACTACATTGTATGGCACTGGCACATCAAATGGTCAGCACAGCTTTGCCACAGTACATCGAAGGAGTTACTGGTATTTTGAGTGTCAGATCACCAAAGGCACCCTATAGACTTAACCATATTCGATGAAGTAATAAAGGAAATTTGTTGTCAGAATATCCATTTCTTCTAGACGAGTCACAATACGTGGCAAAAGAGTCACAATACGTGGTAAACGAGTCACAATATGTGGTAAACGAGTCACAATATGTGGTAAACGAGTCACAATATGTGGTAAATGAGTCAGAATACATGGTAAACAAGTCACAATACGCGGTGGATGAGAGTCTCAATATAAGTGGTAGACTAGTTACAATATGTGGTAGACAAGTCAATATATGCGATTGTTGCTTTGCCCTCTGTTGATTTCTTGTTCTCTAATATTCCTGGGATTTAAACTCCAGCCAACAAGTATGGATGCGATTTCGTGGTGTCCACACATCAACCCAGCTAAGTCATTTTAGGTAAACTTTTTATGGACTTCCGTAAATTTTTGGACATTTGGCAAACATGCGCCAAGACAACGCCTTCCATAATGTTAATTTCAATTAATCGGAAATCAGCCACTTCGTTGAGAATTGAAAGAGCAAAATGGCGCATAAACAAGAATTTAAATGGTACGGTATCAAGTAAAATGCAGAAAATGATGGTCAACTCCAGATCACATAATATACTAATTTGATCCCACTCATTGATCACTAAATCACTTGTGCCCCTGAGCCATGAGTTGACCTGACATGGCATGAAACATTTTTCAGACCTACCTGTGAGAGGTCAGCACCAGTGTCCGGCCTGATGATCTTATTAAATGTAGAACGGTCCATAATGTTCGCTTAGCCACTGGGTCCATTCCAGCCGTCGGCTCATCCAGCATAATGAACAAAGGGTCACCGATGATTGATATACCAACAGACAATTTTCTTTTATTTCCTCCACTGTAACATGGCAAATAAAAAAGATACATAAACAAATATATTTGACTAAAGTTTGATAAAGGGCTTAAGGAACCAATTATTTCAGATAGGGTTTTTTAAAATTATCCACAAATACCGGGATTAATTATTGTGGGTCTCCAAACTAAACCCTTTACTTATTTTTTATTTGCAGAAGACAGTGTCAACTCCTAACGTCTTCTTGGATTGATTACATTCGTCAGTTCTTTTCACACGTTGAAGCGTCATACTATTCTCACTAACATTGAACAACTCAACTCCTTTTCATAATAACTATAACTTTAATATCTAAGTAAGTATAATACACATACACTTGAATATATCACAGCTCGCTATCAGACCTAAATAATACACATCCTATCACTCCAAAGTTCCACTCAAGACTGCCGCACGACTAAAACATACGTCACAATACTGCATAGACAATACATCACGACTCAGCATAAAAATACGTCATAGAGACAATGGCGGGAAGAGCGTTCACTAACTATAATAGTCAAGCGCGGGAAAAGCGTTCAACAACTAATGAACATAATATTGAGTCGCAACAATTACTAATGAACGCTCATACTCGACAGACGGAAGAATGGACCGAGAGACAGAGACAAGAGTGCAGGAGACAAATACAGTCAGCTACCAAAAAGCCACACTGCTAAGACACCCAAGAAAAAAGATGGAAGTCCAAATGCTGATTAATTAACGATGTCTTTCTTTCAACCCGTGCTTACCAGCATCAAACCTGGGCTCAGAGTAGATGTTTTGAGAAAAGCCCTTCACCTGTGCGATATTTAAGGTCGAGCAACTGGTAAAATGAGAAGGGACCACATTCAAAACCAGGAAATGTTTGGTGCCATAAGAATCAAACAGTGTATGTTCCACCATCAAACTCAATGGTTTGGCCATCAGGTCAGAATGCCTATCAATCAACATGGATTGCAAGCTTACAATAGCAGCACCACGGTTTCAGCCCCTGGGAGAAGACCAGGAGGGCAGTGGACTGGCTGTGTCAAGGAGACTTTCATGAACCCTCAGGGGCCGATCATCTTGTGGATGATACCAACTTTTACTCCCCTCAACGTCTCCCGTTAAAGCGGAAAGATGAAGAAAAAGCTAAAACATCCGCTTGCTTTAATTATAACTGAAACATATCAGAGATACATAGAAAAGTGACCAGTAATTACAAAATTGACCAGAGACAGTAAATATTTTATTGAGCCTTTCAAACAGTTTTAATGGTTTTTACGCCAAAAAAAATTGTTGGAAAATATTTCCCCATAATGAATTTCATTTAGCCCGTTTTCTTGGCGTGTCTTAATAAAGTATCTCTAGAATTTGAGGCCTTTAAGACACAGGAAATGCCATTTGCTCACCTGTATTTACCAGTGAGCTTGTCTTCATGGGGTCGAAGGGTTACAAAGTCCACGATTGCCTCTGTGACGTTGTGTAAACTTGTTTCTGGCACGCCCCTCAGACGGGCATACAAGTATAAAGTCTCCCTTCCGGTCAGCCTCTCGTGGAGGGCGTCTTGCTGTGGACAGTAGCCCATCATAGCCTGGATCTGTGGATGGCATTATTTGGACCATATGAGATCAAACCATTAGCACTGAAACCCTTGTATTGTGCATTTGTCTACTGGGCACAGCCCCAGTCATCAAGTGTTCCCAGTAGTTATATGGAAGTTATTTTGGGTAGTTGTTGCGGGAAATGGGTCTCTTGACGGAGTAAAAATTATTCATAGTTGACCATTATTTTCGCTCGTACATAAGTGATCCTAACGGACAAACATTTAAAAAAAACAAAACTAAGATGAAAGATCAATTTTGAAGGCCATTATATCAAACGTCCCCTTGTAACAATGTTATGTTTTCTATTTGTTATGGCACCTAGCAATACCGTTATTATGTCTTGTTTACAGCACCAAGTAACAATGCTATACCATCTATTGTTATGGCACCTAGCAATACCGTTATTATGTCTTGTTTACAGCACCAAGTAACAATGCTATACCATCTATTGTTATGGCACCTAGCAATACCGTTATTATGTCTTGTTTACAGCACCAAGTAACAATGCTATACCATCTATTGTTATGGCACCTAGCAATACCGTTATTATGTCTTGTTTACAGCACCAAGTAACAATGCTATACCATCTATTGTTATGGCACCTAGCAATACCGTTATTATGTCTTGTTTACAGCACCAAGTAACAATGCTATACCATCTATTGTTATGGCACCTAGCAATACCGTTATTATGTCTTGTTTACAGCACCAAGTAACAATGCTATACCATCTATTGTTATGGCACCTAGCAATACCGTTATGATCTCTATTGATAAAGAATCTTATTGTAATGAAAGTGTGCCGGAGATTAAGTTTTGTCGACCAGTAAGTGTTTTGACAAATTAGAATATGGTATGTGTTTTCCAGCAGGTGCTGCACCCACCCTGCAATTTCTACGATATTTCCGTTCACCAATTGTTTAAGGACACATTTGTATCGACTACTGTTGGGTAATGCTTGAGGGTGCCAAATATCTGAGCTCAGATGATATAAAATGGTACATTTCTTTGGCCGTGGTGTATGAGGATCAAGTTAAAAAAAAAAATTGTAATCCGCCATTCTCCGAAGAACGTCATATTAAGTTACCGGTCTTCTTTTGTAAACAGAGTTTCTGTCCAGGACGAGGAAGTTTTGTAAAAGAAGACACAGCAAAATAGTGTTACTTGGTGCTGTCTCATTAAATCTTCCCCTGAATTGTTTAGCCATCGTCTTCAAACTCGACCCCACTACACAACTTGACCCCACTACACAACTTGACCCCACTACACAACTTGACCACACTACACGACTTGACCACTTAAGTGACAGCGTAGATATTGGTAAACTATGAGCACTTTTTTCCTGCCCCGAGAAACCCATTTCCAACAACAGCTTCCCAACATATCTTCCTTCTTCCAACCTATAACACGTGGCAATCAGAGCTAAGCACCATTGACAAATGCACGACACGTTCAAGGTGCGAAGTTTTCAGTACAGGTACTGATAGTGTTGCTGCATACTCTCTCTCTCTCTCTCTCTCTCTATATATATATATATATATATATATTGTCACTCTGGACAAACTCCATAGACAACTCCACATCTTAAAAAATTTAATACTCTAGAAATGGCCCTATGACTTTAAATGGCATAAAGGGACATGATGACCTAATTAATTTGTTTTCCCCCAAAACTTAAAATTCTTTCTCAAATGATGATTTTTTTTCAGTGTCATATTTTTCGTGTCCATGAAAGATTTAAAAGACTCATTGGAGACTCTGTCAGTAAACCAATTTCAAAACATTTTATCTTGTGAAAAAAATATTTGTCCAAAAAAAAAAAAAATTTAAACTAATACCGTTTTTTATAACTTACAGTTTTTATTTGAGTCTTTACACTCAGTCCTTTCACATAAGCATCTCCTGAGGACACCATGTGGTCTCCAGTCAACATTTTAAATGTAGTGGTTTTCCCAGCTCCGTTTTGTCCTAAAAGTCCCAGGCATTCGTTCTGGGGCAGGGCCAGGCTTGAGTTGTGCACGGCAACAAAAGGACTAAGGCTAAATTTTACACAGAATATTTTACGCAGGTTCTTGAGCACAATGGCGTCTGAAAGAAAAACATCAAAATATGAAATGTTCATGAATTTTCTTGTAGAATGGAACATTGTCACTTTCCATAGGTTGGCTACTGCAGTTCGGTGACAAGCGTGTTTTCCAATATTTTCTATACTTTGCTCCCCCTATGAACTCTCAGACTGGTCTAAGCCCCCTTACAAACTGGTAATAAGGGGGAGAGACTGCTATCAGGTTAGAAAAATGGGACTTAATCAGCAAAAAAACCCCCAGAAAAAACTCTTAGCTGAATTGTAGTATCCGAGATATTACATTTCAGCTAAGTGTTATTTTGATTTAATTCTGTTTTTCCGGTGTTTGTTCACAGATGAAGGCTTCTTGCCGACACGTTCACTGTTTTGTTGCATTCTTTTTAGCAGGTTTTCCCACACGTTGTTTTTCTCATTTCCCCTTAAAAATTGTTTTACTAAGGCTCGCACCCCTTACAAAAAGTAACAATGCAATAAAAAAATTTGATTTATTTCTTGAATTGCAAAGAGAACCGTAGAACTTCGAACACACGACTCACTATTCTGACACAAGACACACGACTCACTATTCTGACACAAGACACACGACTCACTATTCTGACACAAGACTCACTATTCTGACACAAGAAACAAGACTCACTATTCTGACACAAGACACACAACTCACTATTCTGACACAAGAAACAAGACACACTATTCTGACACAAGACACACAACTCACTATTCTGACACAAGACACATGACTCACTATTCTGACACAAAAAACATGACTCACTATTCTGACACAAGACACATGACTCACTATTCTGACACAAGACACATGACTCACTATTCTGACACAAGAAACAAGACTCACTATTCTGACTCAAGAAACAAGACTCACTATTCTGACACAAGACACACGACTCACTATTCTGACACAAGAAACAAGACTCACTATTCTGACACAAGACTCACTATTCTGACACAAAACACAAGACTCACTATTCTGACACAAGTCTCACTATTCTGACACAAGAAACAAGACTCACTATTCTGACACAAGACACAAGACTCACTATTCTGACACAAGAAACAAGACTCACTATTCTGACACAAGAAACAAGACTCACTATTCTGACACAAGATCTCCACAGGGGTCTCATTCACTCTACGACTTTCCTCTTGGACATCGCCATCCTCAGCCAGGTGGCCATCTCCGGGATGGTTAGGGTTTATCATATTTAATGGGATGCTTTTTCCACACAACAAATACCTAAAGGCACCATCAAAGGAAAAGACAAATATTTCAAAAAAGCTTCAGCAAACGGACAAACTTTGGCTCAAAGAGACGCATCTGAATAGTTGACATGGATCTCAAAGACATGCACCTGAATAGTTGACATGGATCTCAAAGACATGCACCTGAATAGTTGACATGGATCTCAAAGACATGCACCTGAATAGTTGACATGGATCTCAAGGAAAGACACAAACAGGTTTCACTCATTCAAGTACAAAACACAATAATGACATGATATTTTTCAGAAATCATGTTAAAATGCATTTCTTCTTCTTCTATATATTAAGGGCCCACAATCAATTTATTGATTATTTTGGCTCCTATGCATGCAGAGTGGATTTGCAAAGTTTCTGTGCCGGTGTTGATGAGGATATTTCAGTGATTGCATGTGCTAGTTTGTTGAGGGAATCATGCACTGGGGGTTGGAAGGCTTGAGGCAATAGACACAAATGTGTCAAGTGTTGTCGCATCAACTGTTCCTTTTGAAAGCTTGTTCCAGTCCCTGATTGTCTTGGGCAGGAATGAGCAGTTCCTATACTGGCTTCTTGCGGGTATGAGCAGGAATAGCCTGTTATGGCCTCGTCACTGTCTATGGGGGAGAGGGATGAGTTTCTGTTTAATACTGGAACAGTGGACCAGCTCATTATTTATCTTGTACATCATGGAGAGCCTGGATTGTCATCGTCATTCCTCCAATGGTGACCAGCCTAGTGTTTCCAGCATGCTGCAAACACTAGAGGTATTCTGGTAGTGGTTCAGGACAAAGCATGCTGCCCGTTGCTGGACAGCCTCCAACCTGTCAATGCTCTTCTGGGTAAATAGGTCCCAGACTGAAGATGCATAATCTAAAACCGGACGGACAAAGGCTTTATAGGCTCTTTATTTCACACAGGAGTTGCCAATCTTTAGATTACGCCTTAAGAACCCCATGGTCTTGTTTGCTTGGTTACACACATTAATATGCTTGTCCCATCAGTTTGCTTGTGGTTCTCCAGATTGGCCATCAAGTATTCTACAAATTCAAGGAGCTGGGTCTCACATGATCTATTGACTAGGAAGCCATGTTGACAGTCATTGAGAATATTTTGGCTTTCAAGATGCTTCATGACTGTGCTTACGATTATGTGCTCCAACAGTTTGCAAACCACGGTGGTGAGGGATATCGGACGATTGTTGGCCGGGGCGGAATTTAACTATTTAAGTTTCTAAGGTCGTAAATTTAGTTTTCAAATCTGTCCCGATAAATCTAATTACCAAATGTTTCTAACAAATTACCATGACAAAGCTTCATTAAATAGTAATTAAAAATGTTAATACATGTATGCATATAAATTTGAACACGTCTTAATAAGTAAAGTATAAAAAATATAAAATATAAATGTGGTTAAGCACATAAACGACCTGGTGTAATCAAATTACTAGGGCCCTGGTTCCCAGCCCAAGGGATGTGACCTCAAAAAGGTTGGCAAAGGGATTTGCCTAGGGTCGCCAGCTGTGACAGTAAACTAACATTCAATTTTTAAAGAGTTTTCTTCTTTTGTTTTTCAATTGGGGCCTTAAAGTCTGAATACATTTCAACCATGGCATTAAAGATGTGCTTCATTACAATTATATTATATTGAAAAATAAAGTTTTAATATTAAATATCTTTTCATTTAACAAAATTTACCCACTTAAAAAGTATTGTTTTCAATGTATCGTGGTCATGGGTCACTTTTTTCTATATAAATGTGGCTGACAGAATGTGTGCTAGAGCTACTGTACTTGTGTGCTAGAGCTATTGATATTGTGTGCTAAAGCTACTGTACATGGGTCACTTTTTCTATATAAATGTGGTCATGAACAAACATGGCAGATTGTGTGCTAGAGCTACTGAGATTGTGTGCTAAAACTACTGAGATTGTCTGCTAAAACTACTGAGATTGTGTGCTAAAACTACTGAGATTGTGTGGTAGAGCAACTGAGATTGTGTGCTTGAGCAACTGAGATTGTGTGCTTGAGCTACTGAGATTGTGTGTTAGAACTACTGAGATTGAGTGCTAGAGCTACTGAGATTGTGTGCTAAACTATTGAGATTTTGTGCTAAAGCTACTGAGATTGTGTGCAAGAGCTACTGGGATTATGTGCTAGAGCTACTATACATGTGTGATAGAGCTACTGAGATTGTGTGCTAAAACTACTGAGAATGTGTGCTAGAGCTACTGAGATTGTGTGCTAGAGCTACTGAGATTGTGTGCTAGAACTACTGAGATTGTGTGCTAAAACTACTGAAATTGTGTGCAAGAAACACTGAGATTGTGTGCTAGGACTACTGAGATTGTGTGTTAGAAATACTGAGAGTGTGTGTTAGAGCTACTGTACTTGTGTGCTATAGAGCTATTGAGATTATGTGCTAGAGCTACTGAGATTATGTGTTAGAATTAATGTACTTGTGTGCTAGAACCAACTGTACTTGTGTGCTAGAGCTATTGAGATTGTGTGCTAGAACTACTGTACTTGTGTGCTAGAACTACTGTACTTGTGTGCTTGAACTAATGTACTTGTGTGCTAGAAACAACTGTACTTGTGTGCTAGAACTACTGTAATTGTGTGCTTGAACTACTGTACTTGTGTACTAGAACTACTGTACTTGTGTGCTAGAACCAACAGTACTTGTGTGCTAAAGCTACTGAGATTGTGTGCTAGAACCAACTGTACCTGTGTGCTAAAGCTTCTGAGATTGTGTGCAAGAAGCAACTATACTTGTGTGATAGAACTGCTGTACTTGTGTGCTAGAACCAACTGTACTTGTGTGCTAGAACTAATGTACTTGTGTGCTAGAACCAACTGTACTTGTGATCTAAAGCTACTGAGATTGCGTGCTAAAGCTATAGAGATTGTGGGCTAGAACCAACTGTACTTGTGTGCTAAAGCTACTTAGATTGAGTGCTAAAGCTACTGAGATTGCATGCTAAAACTATTGAGATTGTGTGCTAGAACGAAATGTACTTGTGGGCTGAAGCTTCTGAGATTGCGTGCTTAAGCTATTGAGATTGTGGGCTAGAACCAACTGTACTTGTGCGCTAAAGCTACTGAGATTGTGTGCTAAAACAAATAAGATTGCGTGCTAAAGCTATTGAGATTGTGTGCTAGACCCAAATGTACTTGTGGGCTAAAGCTACTGAGATTGCGTGCTAAAGCCATTGAGATTGTGGGCTGAACCAACTGTACTTGTGTGCTAAAGCTACTGAGATTGTGTGCTAAAGCTACTGAGATTGTGTGCTAAAACTACTGAGATTGTGTGCTAGAGCTACTGTACTTGTGTGATAGAACTACTGTACTTGTGTGCAGGAACTACTGTACTTGTGTGCTAGAACTTATGTATTTGTGTGCTAGAACTACTGTACTTGTGTGCTACAGCTACTGAGATTGTGTGCTAAAGCTATTGAGATTGTGGGCTGAACCAACTGTACTTGTGTGCTAAAGCTACTGAGATTGTGTGCTAAAGCTACTGAGATTGTGTGCTAAAACTACTGAGATTGTGTGCTAGAGCTACTGTACTTGTGTGCTAGAACTAATGTACTTGTCTGCTAGAACTACTGTACTTCTGTGCTAGAACTAATGTACTTGTCAGCTAGAACTACTGTACTTGTGTGCTAGAACCAACTGTACTTGTGTGCTAAAGCTTCTGAGATTGTGTGCTAGAACCAACTGTACTTGTGTGCTAAAGCTACTGAGATTGTGTGCTAGAAGTACTGTACTTGTGTGTTAGAACTACTGTACTTGTGTGCTAGAACCAACTGTACTTGTGTGGTAGAACTACTGTACTTGTGTGCTAGAACTACTGTACTTGTGTTCTAAAGCTACTGAGATTGCGTGCTAAAGCTATTGAGATTGTGGGCTGGAACCAATTGTACTTGTGTGCTAGAACTAATGTACTTGTGTGCTAGAACTACTGTACTTGTGTGCTAGAACTACTGTACTTGTGTGCTAGAACTACTGTACTTGTGTGCTAGAACTAATGTACTTGTGTGTTAGAACTAATGTACTTGTGTGCTAGAACCAACTGTACTTGTGTGCTAGAGCTACTGAGATTGTGTGCTAGAACCAACTATACTTATGTGCTAATGCTACTGAGATTGTGTGCTAGAACAAACTGTACTTGTGTGCTATAGCTACTAAGATTGTGTACTAGAAACAACTGTATTTGTGTGCTAGAACTAATGTACTTGTGTGCTAGAACTACTGTATTTGTATGTTAGAACTAATGTACTTGTGCGCTAGAACCAACTGTACTTGTGTGCTAGAGCTACTGAGATTGTGTGCTAGAACCAACTATACTTATGTGCTAATGCTGAGATTGTGTGCCAGAACAAACTGTACTTGTGTGCTATAGCTACTGAGATTGTGTGCTAGAACAAACTGTATTTGTGTGCTAGAACTGATGTACTTGTGTGCTAGAAACAAGTGTACTTGTGTGCTAGAACTACTGTATTTGTGTGCTTAAGCTCCTGAGATTGTGTGCTAGAACAAACTGTACTTGTGTGCTATAGCTACTGAGATTGTGTGCTAGAACCAACTGTATTTGTGTGCTAGAACTAATGTACTTGTGTGCTAGAACTACTGTATTTGTATGTTAGAACTAATGTACTTGTGCGCTAGAACCAACTGTACTTGTGTGCTAGAGCTACTGAGATTGTGTGCTAGAACCAACTATACTTATGTGCTAATGCTGAGATTGTGTGCTAGAACAAACTGTACTTGTGTGCTATAGCTACTGAGATTGTGTGCTAGAACCAACTGTATTTGTGTGCTAGAACTAATGTACTTGTGTGCTAGAAACAAGTGTACTTGTGTGCTAGAACTACTGTATTTGTGTGCTTAAGCTCCTGAGATTGTGGGCTAGAACTACTGTACTTGTGTGCTAGAACGACTGTACTTGTGTGCTAGAACTAATGTACTTGTGTGCTAGAACCAACTGTACAAGCTACTGAGATTGTGTGCTAGAACCAACTGTACTTGTGTGCTAAAGCTTCTCAAATTGTTTGCTAAAGCCAACTGTACTTGTGTGCTAGAACTGCTGTACTTGTGTACTAGAACTGCTGTTCTTGTGTGCTAGAACTACTGTACTTGTGTGCTAGAGCTATTGAGATTGTGTGCTAAAGCTACTGAGATTGTGTGCTATAACTACTGTACTTGTGTGCTGTAATGTGCGTAGAACCATCAGCACAAAGGAGAGGGGAAGTGCCTACCTAGTATTTTCACCACTCTGATGCAGTCTCAGCTCCGTTGGATGGGACACGTAGCCCGTATGGCAGACCACCGGCTCCCGAAACAAATATTCTTTGGAGAACTCACGATAGGCAAGCGCTCCCAAGGAGGCCAAAGAAAGCGTTACAAAGACTCACTGAAAGTGGCACTAAAGGCCTTCAGCATAAACACTACTCAATGGGTGCAGACAGCCCAGGACAGAGCCAGATGGAGAGCTGCTGTCAAGAAGGGGGCTAAATCCCATGAAGCTAAGAGAATAACCACAGCTGAGACACGCAGGCTTGTCCGAAAGAGCAACATTAGGTCATCGTCTGAAGCAACTATTCCATGCCCACTGTGTCATAGATTATTCCGAGCAAGGATCGGTCTAACAAGCCACCTAAGAGCTCACCGTAATCCCAACCCCCCCGCCCGCCCCTAACCGGATGATTCGATGGTCCTTGTCGACTTCGACGGACGAACAACACTTGTGTGCTAGAACTACTGTACTTGTGTGCTAGAACCAACTGCACTTGTGTGCTAAAGCTACTGAGATTGCGTGCTAAAGCTATTGAGATTGTGGGCTAGAACCAACTGTACTTGTGTGCTAAAGCTACTGAAATTGCATGCTAAAGCTATTGAGATTGTGGGCTAGAACCAACTGTACTTGTGTGCTAAAGCTACTGAAATTGCATGCTAAAGCTATTGAGATTGTGTGCTAGAACCAACTGTACGTGTGTGCTAAAGCTACTGAGATTGTGTGCTAGAACTACTGAGGTTGTCCTGGCTCAGTGTGACAATTTGTGATAATCTGTGAATCACTCAAAAAAATTTTTCTTGAAGTTTGTGGGAAGAATTTCCCGTCAGTTTGTGAGAAACTGTTATTCTGATCCCATCAAAGTAAGTCTAAACTTTGAACAAAATTTGAATGAACATATACACAAATCACTAAAACGTACACATATAACAATGCATATGAGACTTTACCATAACAGGCGGTCCACTCTGAATTCGACGAGGGCCACAAACACCCACCCACCTACAAAATGTATAGCAAACAGCAGCAGTTTGGACTGAAGTGTTTCGCCGGCTACGTCACTGGTCAGGTAGCTGGTGAAGGAATCTGTGGGATAAACGACAACACAAGAATAGGCATTCATTCAAGTGAGGAAGGATGAGTGTGGGTGGGGCCAGCGGTGAGTCTAAGGGCTCCAAGTTTCTGAGTAATACATGATTACATTCCAAATATCAAAGACTATGACGAGTTGTTTTTGTTTTTTTTTGGGGGGGGGGGGTATAACAAATGGCTCTATGTCTCTTATATATTTACCAAATATTAAAGATTGTAAAGAATTGGTTCAAGTTAAATCATCTACTGCAGTAGTGTGACAACTCTTCTAACACAGTAATTCTTTTAAAAAATAAAAAAAAGGGGGATGCGGTTGCCAGAGCAGAAATCCCAAAAGTAAAAACGAAATGTTTTCACAAGATTTAACTCCTAATAAAATTATGTAGTTGAGTGAAAGTGGTTCAGAAGTAAATCATAAAATATCTTCTCTTTTGTTCGTTTTTTGGTGAGACTTTCTCTCATACTTTACTTTTTCCTTCTTCTTGTGTCTGATTACTGATTCTACCAGGTAGACTTTGTGGGAAGTACGGTTGACGATTTACCGATAAGCTTTAGATTGGCATCCATTGAGATTTTGTCAATGCACACTAGTATACTGAACATCTGCGGCGATAGAATGTAGCCATGTTTAATTTTGCTTCAAAAACACACAGGGAATCAATCCATTTGGGCTATACACAAGACTATCCGCATGTTTCCAACACTTCCCAGAGCTTTTTTTCCCCACCCCCCGTAAAAAGCTTCTTCCCGTCAACCACCCCCCCCCCCCCCCCATATCCCAATCTTTTCCACAACACATTGGCTGGAGGGCAAAGATTGCATCCATGCAGCCTCTTCTTTTCCTGAAGCTGAACTGGAATTTGCTAAGAGGAGGTTTCCCTTTTGCTTGTGTCTGCTTCTTCAGGAGCTTCCCCTAATATTTTACCAGTGCGGCTTTGGACCACCAACTTTGATCTTTGGACTGGTCCTAATCCCACATCGGACTTCTTCTTCTTTGAGGATGTTGGATTAAGGCTGATTAGTGTATTAATCTCAGCAGGATAGAGGATCAGCTTTTAAAAGTAAGCTACCGATCTCTGATTTTATTTTGTTACCAAAGAGTGGATTCTTTCAGACCATTACAATAGTGCAATAGTCAACACTACAACAAAATGGAAAGAATTTTTTCTTTTTTTTTTAAAAACACTTAAAAATTTTTTTTTTCTAGTATTGATAAGAAGAGTAACCTTTTCAACAACTCACATTTCTATTTATAGCAAATTAGCGGAAATACCCGCTACACTAACCTACGCCTCCCCCACCCTCCCTCTAAAAAAACCCCCGCCTCATTATCTCTAACAAAGAAAAGAAAAAGATTAATGCCTCCATCACTTACCATCAATTGAATACTTCTGTATCGATATAATGACAAAGAAAAATTGGCACGTTGTTAGAACATAGTTTGGAGACATTGGAGCAAGCAGCATGTCTACCCTGTGCAGGAGACTGTATTCGACATTCATCACCTTGTAGGCAGCTAACGTGACGGCAACCAGCACTCCTAGCAATGAGATATTTTTAGCCTGTATTACAACAGATCTCCCATGGTGACACATTCACTTTGGATTTAAACGATAAGAAATATAAAACATGGTCAGGGAAGAACCTGACAAAAAAACAAAACAAATCATCAGACATTCTGGCAACTATCTTATAAGGTTTGAAGTCTTTTACAATCTTTCTCTATGGACCGCCATCTTTCTCTATGGACCGCCATCTTTCTCTATGGACCGCCATCATTCATAACAGACTGCCATCTTTCTGAACTAAAAAAGCGCAAACTTAACAATCTAAATTTGTCTCTCTTCTTATTTGCCAAGAGTTCCAGGAAGCCAGGAAGTGTTTCTTTCAGACAATTTCCGAGGGGGAGGGGGGATCCTTTTAGACATCTGGGAGGGCACCCTGCACTGGTGGCACACTGCTCTGGTGGTACAATGTTTTGTAGTTGTGCTTGCTCTACCCTTGTATTCAACAACTATCGTTATACACTGAGCTCTTCCAAGTTTGTATTACTTATTTATTTTAATGGCACAACAACCCCAGCCCCCCCCCCCCCCCAACCAGCGAGGTTGCATCAGCGCACCCCCGGAATGCAGTGACTACTTCTCACATATTTTAGTGGTAGTAAACATGATCATCAGAATTAATTTATAGATAACGTAATACTCTCTTTGCTTACCCACGAAGACGTTGAAACAAAGGATTGAGAGTACACCATTGGCAGGGTTCTTGAAGATGATCTGGACGGCGTACAGGTAAGGGAACATCGCCACGGCAAAGGATACCAACATGAGTAAAGTGACCGCCCATCTGCCCCTGGCCAAGTAGAGGCTGGGATTTATTGTAAGCCCCAGCATGACAGTGGCGATGATGATGATGAAAAAAAACATGTCAAATATGTAGGCACCCAGCCAGTAAGCCATCGGACTGACCCCGCTTAGGGACTGGAGGTGTTTCGCGCCCATCTGAAATAGGAAGCAGAAATTCAAGAATGCAGTGTAAAAGTTTCTGACACAATTCGGCAAAGATGCTTGTAGGAATGTCGGTTTATTGAAAATAAAGACATCAATTTCTTTTTTCATTTTGCTTTAGTTTAGTCCCAAAACTGGGCCTGAAGCAATTGTAGCAATTATAATGTAGCTGTTTAAAATTTTAAAATGAATGTAGTGGGTTTTTTTTTTTAAATTTAACTTTAACTGAAATCTAGCAATTACAAAACAGATGTAAAGCAGTGCAGTAGTTTAAGAAGTGAGTACAAAGGATCTACTCCATCCCGGGTGGTCTTTTTCTCCTTATATTAATAATAATAAAAATAATGAAGTTTATTGAAGATTAGCTTACAACCGTACAAAGAAACATACAGGCCACCAGATAACTGCATTTATATTTCATTCATAGATGTATCAAGTTAAAAATTTGGTCCATATCAAACGATTTGTGTAGTGACCCGTTCTAATTGTTCAGAAATATTTGTTTATCCACCCATTCCCACAAAAAATAGAAAAACACACAAAATCACCTTTTCATTTTTATCCCAAGGGTTTCACCACCCACACCCCAACTAATAAAAATCTAGGCCCCACCTCATTATTTACAAAAATAAAATAAAATGAGACACAAGAATGGGCAAAGGTCTAAAAGAGCTTACACTACGTTCTGCGATGAGACTATGGATGTACACCACGGGGACCATGGCCATGGCAAATCCCAGACAAAACATGGTGGCCAGCTGAAGCTCACTTTTCTTTAACATCGGCGTGGGTGGTCGGTGGAGGACGCCAAGCTGGATGGAGAAGTCGTTGCCCAGCATGGACTGAACCCAGGCGTTCATCAGTAGCTGAGTCTTCAAGAATCACACACATAAATACAGAACATATAAAGTAATACAGAAAATATGAAGAACTACAGAACGTATTAAGTAATACAGAATATATTAAGAAATACAGAACATATTTTTAAAAAAGTAACATATTTATTGAACCAAAGCAAAAATTTTAGTTTGATTGTTGGCTTTTTTTGGGGGGGGGGGATTGGTGTCTATCTGTGTGCTTCAGGTGGTAGGGGAGGGGCGTGTCTATCAGTAGGCTTTGGGGTGGGGGGGGCAGGGCTATCTATCAGCGTGTTCGATAGTTTATAGGTGGACCTGCCACTTTGAGGAAGCATCAGAAATTTGCAGCAGTATTAGAGGGTTAACAAATATTTTGACAAAATTTAAAAGTGCAGTTTTGGAGGAAAAAAGACGTTTCTTTGGAATCTATAGTCAAGGCTTTAGTGAGCCCTAGGAAACTGTCTTGAAAGTAACTGGTTTGCGGCAGGTCTGATACACAGTGTAAAAAGAGCTTAGAGTCTTGAGCCCTCAATGCACTAGAGCTTGCTAGTCATAACAAATACCATTTGATTTCTGGCATTAAAAGTGGGGTTTGGGATTTTAACAAAAAAACAACCTCAGACACATTACAAAATATTTTATTTTAACCCTCAAATAACTTTACGTACATAAATTTTAAGATCATAGTTTTTTTCCCCTAGCGTTTAAATGCTCCAATAAAAAACAAGAATCCTCAAAATCCGGCTTATAACTATCCCACGTGTGGCTGCCGACGCTGCCATTAGAACCACCCTACACATCTAAGCAGAGTAAAAAGAAAAAAAAACACATGACGACTCACAGAAATTCCCTTGGCATGAACGGCAGATTTCTGGTATAATATGGTGTAGTGCTCTTCTTCAAACACGGCTCCCACTATCATTTTTCTCTCGTACATTTTCTTACCATTTGATTTACCCCAGTTAATGAGGTACTCGTTGATGTCATCCTGTGTAGAATTAGGGAAATTTGTACCTCGAAGAGTTCATTCATTTGATTTCTTTAATTAATTTTTTTTTGGTTGCTCAAATTCAAGTGACCAAGTGAAAAGAAAGTTTGAGGTACAGGCACCATGGTCTCCCCTCCATTACCACGAAAACTAATCAAACGCATCTAGGTTTGAAACGTTGGGCACATATTCTAATTAATGTAAGATATCTTACGTTTATTGATACAAATAAATGGAAGTATCTTATCGTATCTTAAAGTATCTTAAATGTGCATGTTTTACAAACAGGCATCATTTTGTACGGGACCTTTTGTAAATTTAGTTCAGAATCATTTCTTTCCCTTCAAATATCAATAGGACGATGTTATGTCCAAGTGTGGTTTTGTCATTGGAACATGAGGATTGAGCACAGTATATAATTTTATTTTATTGTACCGGTACAACATTCTCATCACTGCCCAAAAGCTTCTGATTATTGCCACACAAGTTTCAAGCAAGAAAGAAGAAATCATAAAAGTTCTGACATCCCATTTTGTTTTGCTTATTTTTTTTTTCAGACATCCTCAAGTTCTAACAGACGTATACCCCCGAAAGTCATTTTGGGTCAAATTTTTAAAGACTATTGGAAACTAATTCTAAAAAATACTCTGCAAGTCAAAAAAGCTTAGGCTAACTTTGCCACTAACTGATGAGGTTGAAGACTAACTGTGCCACTATTTGATGAGGTTGAAGACTAACTTTGCCACTAACTGATAAGGTTGAAGACTAACTTTGCCACTATTTGATGAGGATGAAGACTAACTTTGCCACTAACTGATGAGGTTGAAGACTAACTTTGCCACTAACTGATGAGGTTGAAGACTAACTGTGCCACTATTTGATGAGGTTGAAGACTAACTTTGCCACTATTTGATGAGGATGAAGACTAACTTTGCCACTTACTGATGAGGTTGAAGACTAACTTTGCCACTAACTGATGAGGTTGAAGACTAACTGTGCCACTATTTGATGAGGTTGAAGACTAACTTTGCCACTAACTGATGAGGTTGAAGATTAGCTTTGCCACCAACTGATGAGGTTGAAGACAAACGGTGTCACTATTTGATGAGGTTGAAGACTAACTTTGCCACTAACTGATAAGGTTGAAGACTAACTTTGCCACTATTTGATGAGGATGAAGACTAACTTTGCCACTAACTGATGAGGTTGAAGACTAACTTTGCCACTAACTGATGAGGTTGAAGACTAACTGTGCCACTATTTGATGAGGTTGAAGACTAACTTTGCCAGTAACTGATGAGGTTGAAGATTAGCTTTGCCACCAACTGATGAGGTTGAAGACAAATGGTGCCACTATTTGATGAGGTTGAAGACTAACTTTGCCACTAACTGATGAGGTTGAAGACTAACTTTGCCACTAACTGATGACGTTGAATACTAACTGAGCCACTATTTGATGAGGTTGAAGACTAGCTTGGTCACTATTTGATGAGGTTGAAGACAAACGGTGCCACTATTTGATGAGGTTGAAGACTAACTTTGCCACTATTTGATGAGGTTGAAGACTAACTTTGCCACTAACTGATGAGGTTGAAGACTAACTGTGCCACTAACTGATGAGGTTGAAGACTAACTTTGCCCCTAACTGATGAGGTTGAAGACAAACTGTGCCACTATTTGATGAGGTTGAAGACTAACTGTGCCACTATTTGATGAGGTTGAAGACTAACTTTGCCACTAACTGGTGAGGTTGAATACTAACTGAGCCACTATTTGATGAGGTTGAAGACTAACTTGCCACTAACTGGTGAGGTTGAAGACTAACTGTGCCACTATTTGATGAGGTTGAAGACTAACTGTGCCACTATTTGATAAGGTTGAAGACTAACTTTGCCACTATTTGATGAGGATGAAGACTAACTTTGCCACTAACTGATGACGTTGAAGACTAACTTTGCCACCAACTGATGAGGTTGAAGACTAACTGTGCCACTATTTGATGAGGTTGAAGACAAACGGTGCCACTATTTGATGAGGTTGAAGACTAACTTTGCCACTAACTGATGACGTTGAAGACTAACTTTGCCACTAACTGATGACGTTGAATACTAACTGAGCCACTATTTGATGAGGTTGAAGACTAACTTGGTCACTATTTGATGAGGTTGAAGACAAACGGTGCCACTATTTGATGAGGTTGAAGACTAACTTTGCCACTAACTGATGAGGTTGAAGACTAACTTTGCCCCTAACTGATGAGGTTGAAGACTAACTGTGCCACTATTTGATGAGGTTGAAGACTAACTGTGCCACTATTTGATGAGGTTGAAGACTAACTGAGCCACTATTTGATGAGGTTGAAGACTAACTTTGCCACCAACTGATGAGGTTGAAGACTAACTGTGCCACTATTTGATGAGGTTGAAGACTAGCTTTGCCTCTAACTGATGAGGTTGAATACTAACTGAGCCACTATTTGATGAGGTTGAAGACTAGCTTTGCCTCTAACTGATGAGGTTGAATACTAACTGAGCCACTATTTGATGAGGTTGAAGACTAACTTTGCCACTAACTGATGAGGTTGAAGACTAACTTTGCCACTATTTGATGAGGATGAAGACTAACTTTGCCACTAACTGATGAGGTTGAAGACTAACTTTGCCACTAACTGATGAGGTTGAAGACTAACTGTGCCACTATTTGATGAGGTTGAAGACTAACTTTGCCAGTAACTGATGAGGTTGAAGATTAGCTTTGCCACCAACTGATGAGGTTGAAGACAAACGGTGCCACTATTTGATGAGGTTGAAGACTAACTTTGTCACTAACTGATAAGGTTGAAGACTAACTTTGCCACTATTTGATGAGGATGAAGACTAACTTTGCCACTAACTGATGAGGTTGAAGACTAACTTTGCCACTAACTGATGAGGTTGAAGACTAACTGTGCCACTATTTGATGAGGTTGAAGACTAACTTTGCCAGTAACTGATGAGGTTGAAGATTAGCTTTGCCACCAACTGATGAGGTTGAAGACAAACGGTGCCACTATTTGATGAGGTTGAAGACTAACTTTGCCACTAACTGATAAGGTTGAAGACTAACTTTGCCACTAACTGATAAGGTTGAAGACTAACTTTGTCACTAACTGATAAGGTTGAAGACTAACTTTGCCACTAACTGATAAGGTTGAAGACTAACTTTGCCACTAACTGATAAGGTTGAAGACTAACTTTGTCACTAACTGATAAGGTTGAAGACTAACTTTGCCACTAACTGATAAGGTTGAAGACTAACTTTGTCACTAACTGATAAGGTTGAAGACTAACTTTGCCACTAACTGATGAGGTTGAAGACTAACTTTGCCCCTAACTGATGAGGTTGAAGACTAACTGTGCCACTATTTGATGAGGTTGAAGACTAACTGTGCCACTATTTGATGAGGTTGAAGACTACCTTTGCCACTAACTGGTGAGGTTGAATACTAACTGAGCCACTATTTGATGAGGTTGAAGACTAACTTTGCCACTAACTGGTGAGGTTGAAGACTAACTGTGCCACTATTTGATGAGGTTGAAGACTAGCTTTGCCTCTAACTGATGAGGTTGAATACTAACTGAGCCACTATTTGATGAGGTTGAAGACTAATTTTGCCACCAACTGATGAGGTTGAAGACTAACTGTGCCACTATTTGATGAGGTTGAAGACTAGCTTTGCCTCTAACTGATGAGGTTGAATACTAACTGAGCCACTATTTGATGAGGTTGAAGACTAACTTTGCCACTAACTGATGAGGTTGAAGACTAGCTTTGCCATTAACTGATGAGGTTGAAGACTTACTTTGCCACTAACTGATGAGGTTGAAGACCTCCTTTGCCACTAACTGATGAGGTTAAAAAGTAACTTAGCCACTAACTGATGAGGTTGAAGACTAACTGTGCCACTAACTGATGAGGTTGAAGACTAACTTTGCCAGTAACTGATGAGGTTGAAGACTAACTTTGCCAGTAACTGATGAGGTTGAAGACTTACTTTGCCAGTAACTGATGAGGTTGAAGACTTACTTTGCCACTAACTGATGAGGTTAAAAACTAACTTAGCCACTAACTGATGAGGTTGAAGACTAACTGTGCCAATAACTGATGAGGTTGAAGACTAACTCTGTCACTAGCTTGAAGACCAACTGACTGAAGTTGGCTTACCGTGGATGTTTTATTAGACTCTACGAACGTTACCCCTGGCGAGGTCGAGAACTGGTTCTTGTAAATCTGCCCTATGACGTTGTTCCTCGATGTCCTGCTGAAGATGGGGACAATGAGGTCCTTGAATCCATCAAGTGAGAAATAAATGGCTGGCGAACCTTCGTCCTCCTCCGCTGTCATATCGTAACTTGCCCCCAGCATCGTCAAGCCCACAGGTAGCAGCAGCAGGATGACGGCTGACCCAAGGCTGCGCTTGAAGAGAATCAGTCTTTTGATGACGATGGCCTTCATTTGCTGGGTGAAGAGAGTGGTGCCTTGGTTTTTCTTGTAGTTCCTAATTGCGTCAAATCGGGCTGTTTGAGGAAAAAGAGAATTGGTATGTGAGGGGTCAGGGGAGGCTAGGTATACAACTAAAATTAACGTTGAGACAGTGTCACATTACTTTTTAAGACGTCCCATTGCTGCCATAATCACTGACAGTATGATTGAATCACTTCCTTGCTCCCACAATCACTGTCAGTATGATTGAATCACTTCCTTGCTCCCACAATCACTGACAGTATGAGTGAATCACTTCCTTGCTCCCACAATCACTGGCAGTATGATTGAATCACTTCCTTGCTCCCACAATTACTGAGTATGCTTGTATGATTTCCTTGCTAGCCACAATCCCTGACAGTATGATTGTATGATTTCCTTGCTGCCACAATCACTGATATTATGATTGTATGATTTCTGTGTTATTGTACTGGTTCCCAAAGCAACTTTGAGCTCCCTGTGTCTACAGAAGAGTACAACCTCATTTTCTTGCAGATTTCTTACATCTGTTTTGTGCGCCTGTTAAAGCAAAACAATCTGCCGCCCCCCGGGGAGGTTGACATTATCCAATGATGATGTGTTTTAGACATATCTTGTTGTCCCCCACAACAGCATGAGGATATGTTTAAGACAAGTCATCCCCTACAAAAATATGAGGCTCAATGGTTTCCCTCGTGTCACGTTAAAGCCTTGTAAATGTATAATTTGCACATGTTACATTTTTGGAGAGGTCTGTGGAGCCCTTAGAAACTTTTTCATTAAAAATAAACGTGTTTAGTGTATCATGTTTTGGTGTAGCACTTGGCGACGTTTGGTTGTGATGACAGTTTTTGTGATGCTTGGTTGTGATGACCGATTTTTGCAGAGCTCAGTTAGCAGTTTTGGTGGAATTAGTTTTAAAGCTATAGAGTAGACCATCTTGATAGGATTTATTGAAGTCCGATTTACCATTATACTGATTAAAAATTTAATATATATTCAAACATCTTTAGTTGAAAATAAGCAGAATAATTGCATGAAGTGTCAGAAAATAACTGAAAATCACACTGTTGAATGGTTTATAATGCTGTGAATCCAGAGTGACTGTACTACTTATGAAGCCCCATGACACTTTTCTGGTGTTGTTATATAGATATTCAATGCCATTGAAAAGATGTCTTCATTATTTTTACCCACATCACAACTTCAGGCCCTTGAGTGTGTAAACCTTACATATCCCAGGCCCCCTGCAGCAGCAGCAGGGGATGCAAGGCCCAGGTGAGGGCTTTCAGTGACTCTTGGGGTCAATACAGCTGATTGTCAGTTTAGCTAGATGAAAATCTGTCTCTGTGTGAAATACATAAATATACACCGTCATCTGTGAAACCGGTTGGATATCCAGTTGAAACTTGCCAAAGGACCTTACGATTGGGATATCGTGTACACTGGACAGACTTATATCTTTGAAAAGTTCACCCTGCAAGCCCTTCAAAGAGGCGAACCCTTGCCTCCCCTCTATAGGAATAGGCTGAGTTAAAGCTCAATATAGACTGCTTCAAAAACAATAGTAGTTTTCATTTTTTAGACTTAGCTATATGTCTACATTTAATCCTGAAAAAAGTGTCACCTTTTTATTTATAGTGACATTTCCATTCTTACAGCAAAAAAAAACACATAACTCCTTAAACACACACCCCCCCCCCCTAATTATAGCGCTATAATTTAAAACTCTAGAAAATTATGCGATACAAATAGCTATGAGTGGGCCTATTTTGACATCTCTTAACTTTTCCTTTTTATTTATAGTGCCATTTCCATCCTTACAGCAAAAAAAACACATAACCCCTTAAACACACACCCCCCCCCCCCTAATTATAGCGCTATAATTTAAAACTCTAGAAAATTATGCGATACAAATAGCTATGAGTGGGCCTATTTTGACATCTCTTAACTTTATTACAAGGATGAGGTGTGGGGCTTGACCTACCCAAATCTTGCGACTTGCGTTCCTGCTCAATTGATGACCTCATCTGGCTTTCCAGCTCGTCGGCGTCATCCAGCTTAGTACCAACGGATTTCCTGACTAGATCGAGCCTCTCGCTTATCAAAACAGACAGACAAACAATAACAAACAAACAATAAGAGTGAAAATATTCTGGTGAGAATTCCGCATGATTTAAATAGAGGCTTTGATAGGTTTTAAATGATGGGTTTTGAATGATAGGTTTTAAATGATAGGTTTTAAATGATAGGTTTTGAATGATAGGTTTTAAATGATAGGTTTTAAATGATAGGCTTCAAATGATAGGTTTTAAATGATAGGTTTTAAATGATAGGCTTGAGAATTGGTTTATTCATTTATTTTTTTGTAAAAATGAAATGGTTTGATAATAGGTTGAAAATTACTATAGACCATTCACTTGATAACGGAATCAACATAAATAAGATACCAATCCCCAATAATTCATATTTAGTCTTTGATTTTATTTATAATTTGTCAGGGCTTTTGAAAATGAATGTTTACCCGTTTTTAATTTGTAAAATATCTTTAAAAAAATTATTGTTATTTAATCATTATATTATAGTATGTTATTTAAGCATTACATTACGGTACTCTCTTTTTAAATAGTCGGTGAACATCTATATTTTGAAGCCGACATTTTTCTAAAATACATCCTGGATCTCAGTTTTTTTTAAATTTAAAAGGCGAGTCCAGCCTGCAAAATAGTTGGATATATATTTTTTTATTTAACTCAGTCTAATGACGTATTTTTGTATTTGCTAGCAATGTGAAATCTTGCCCCAACTCACGAGGTAGGGAGATGTCATTTTCGCCAAGTGCAGATTTTTTTTCGTGGAAGTGGGTGCGGCAAAAAAAAAAAAAAATGTGAAATCTTGCCCCAACTAACGAGGTAGGGAGATGTCATTTTCGCCAAGTGCAGATTTTTTTTCGTGGAAGTGTGTGCGGAAAAAAAAAAAACAAAAAAAAAAACAAAAAAAAAAACAAACAAACAAATAAACACGCCCCGGGTAGTACTAACCCAAGTTACGCCACTGCACACTGGAGCTTGTTACAAAGCAAGAACGAAAATAATGGAAGATCTTCTATAATATCTTGATCAGATACATTCTTTTTATCTAAATAAAAAACAAAAAAAATTTAAGTTAAATTTGTTTGATTGAACTCACCTAAAATGTGAATCATTGTCCTTGATCACGCTCATTACGTCTGATGTCCTTTCAAATGAAAAGGTTGTAAACAAAAACTTTTAAATGTTTGTTTTTTTTAACTTGTAATAGCTATTACTTAAGCAATTCTCCCTTAAAAGTCAACCATGTGGGAAAGTTAACACCAAGTCAAATTTAAGCATATAACTCCTACATCCTTTCGATAAATCTTACGGCTATGCTATATTATATTGACAGATCCCCAAATTAATATTTTTAAGAGGGGAACAAATTCAGATGTTATAATCCCAGATTTTATGTTAATATTTCTTTAAGTTTACCGAAGTGGTCGTCAAACCAGGTGTCTACAATACTATCCCCAACAGAATCATAAGTCAAACCAGATATCAACAATACAATCCTTAACAGAATAGTAAACTATCCTTAACAGAATCATAAGTCAAACAAGGTAACTACAATACTATCCTAAACAGAATCATAAGTCAAACAAACCAGGTATCTAAAATACTATCCTTAACATAATCATAAGTCAAACCAGGTATCAACAATGCTATCCTTAACAGAATCAGAAGTCAAACCAGGTGTCTACAATACTTTTCCTAACAGATTTATAATTCAAACCAGGTGTCTACAATACTTTCCCTAACAGATTTATAAATCAAACCAGGTGTCTACAATACTTTCCCTACTTTTTATTTAATTCTGTTTTTGCTGCTGTTTGTTTGCTGATTAAGGCTTCTTGGGTCAAGACATATTGGACGGACGGCCTTGACTGCTATTGTACTAGACCTATTGGACGGCCATGACTGCTATTGGGCAAGACTTATTGGACGGCCATGACTAGCATGGGGAATCATATTAGACGGCCATGAGTACCATGGGGCAAGACATATTGGACGGCCACAGCTGCGCTTTAAGGATGCATGCAACAAACACGAAGGAAGCCAGTATAGCAATCCGTGAATGTGTGAAAATCTGTGATCACCGTTCCATCTGGTGAAAAGCAATGTGTGTCGGAGTCAAAGCACTTGCAACAATAAGGGCATTAAGGAAGGCCGGATTAAGCCAGAAGTCAATGTTCAATAAGCCTCTTCATCACCTCACGAATTAAATAGGTTGTCTTATATAGATATATACACATATTTATATTTACATACATAAGTACTTTTTGTATTTTGTAATCACAACCAGCCCCCACCCCCCCAAAAACCCCACAAAAAACAAACAACAGATGAAAAAATACATTTTGGACAAATCTTACAGCCATACAGTAGTAGTAGTAGATATCAGTTGACAAATACAGAGCTAGATCCATACAGTAGTCATTATCCCTTGTCAAATACAGCGCTAGATCCACACAAAAGTAGTTATCAGTTATCAAAGACTGAGCCTTGTTGATGAAATACTTACTCTGGCTTCTCGGGTTCATGGAAAATGTACGTTTTGGGTTCTTGGCCTTCACCTACTCTGAAACATTACATTTTATTGAATTATCAATAGTCCGTACCACAAAGTAAAATCAAGATTTTATAAGTCTTCAGAATACTGAGAAAGTTAACATGTTTCAAAGTTAATTCTTAGATAGAAAGTCTTTTAAAGTTTAAAAAAAAAATGTATTTGCCTTTTTTTTTTTAGTATTAAAATTGTAATATTTAAGTTATCGACAAAAGAGGTATTCTTCCCTTTTTTGTTTTCAATCCCCAAAATCCTACAGCTTTATATGAGTGCCCCTAGCCTCCCTCAACAGCTTTATATGAGTGCCCCTAGTCACCCTTCACAGCTTTATATGAGTGCCCATAGTCACCCTTCACAGCTTTATATGAGTGCCCCTCGTCACCCTTCACAGTTTTATATGAGTGCCCCTCATAACCCTTCACAGCTTTATATGAGTGCCCCTAGCCACCCTCCACAGCTTTATATGAGTGCCCCTCACACCCCTCCACAGCTTTATATGATTGCCCCTAGCCACCCTCCACAGCTTTATAAGAGTGCCCCTCACAACCCTCCACAGCTTTATATGATTGCCCCTAGCCACCCTTCACAGCTTTATAAGAGTGCCCCTCACAACCCTTCACAGCTTTATGAGTGCCCCTAGCCACCCTCCACAACTTTATATGAGTGCCCCTAGCCACCCTCCACAGCTTTATATGAGTGCCCCTCACAACCCTCCACAGCTTTATATGATTGCCCCTAGCCACCCTTCACAGCTTTATAAGAGTGCCCCTCACAACCCTTCACAGCTTTATGAGTGCCCCTAGCCACCCTCCACAACTTTATATGAGTGCCCCTAGCCACCCTCCACAGCTTTATATGAGTGCCCCTAGCCACCCTCCACAGCTTTATATGAGTGCCCCTCGCCACCCTTTACAGCTTTATATGAGTGCCCCTAGACACCCTTTACAGCTTTATATGATTATATGATGATATCACGCGTGTAAAATTTTATATAAAAATAACGCCCCATCTACAAGATGGAAATGCAAGTAGAAAGTAAGTCTTTGAAAATAAAATAAGTATTTTTTCTTTTTTGCTACGAAAGATACGTTGCTATCACCTTATAAAAACATCTTCCATGGATGTCGCCGTGATACCAAAGCTGGATATGTTAAGGTAGTTCTTTTTTTTCTCCAGCTCGGCAAACAGTTTGGGCAGGAGGTAGACCTTCTCATCCGGGAGCAGGTAGTAGATTTCATTGGGCGTCTCACCCTGTCCACCAAGATAAAAGATCACGTGACGTACTTCCCCGGGAATGAAAAAATGACACAAATGTCTTCTGCAATTAGTGTTGCCCTAAGGAGCATTGATCCAATTCGCTTGATAGTATGGCACCGGGTGAATTAACAAATGAGGGTGTTTGTGTAATTATGTTGTATATACTCATTTTTCTTCCCAGGGAAAAAAATTACACAAATGTCTACTGCAATTAGTGTTGCCCTAACGAGCATTGATCCAATTCGCTTGATAGTATGGCATCGGGTGAATTAACAGATGAGGCTGTTTGTGTACACATGTTGTACATAATAATTTTTTTTTGTATTGAGGAACACATCCCTAAAATTCTTTAGTTTGACTCATTAAATAAATAAACGTAAATTTCCTCTTTGAGGTTGATAGTGAGGACCTTTCATAACATCAAAGGTTTCAATTTGTGACTTCCGTGCCCGATCATTGTCTGATATCAAGTTCACAGTGTTGCTGAGCCATGTCTTTTGCTGATTATCATGTTCACAGTGTTTTGAGCCCTGTCAGTTTTTTAAACTTTGTGCGACACACCATCACTTACTGTAAATTTTGCGTTAGTTATGTGCTGGCGAACCAGTGCAGTTACTGTACGTGAAAAGCATTTCTCAGTTTTGACAATGTTCATCTGGTAACCGGTGCCTGAAGCAAGAAATAGATTTTGATAGTAAGCATACTAGTGGGCTGGAGTTCACTCCCTAGAGATAACCATTCAAACAAATCAACAACAGCCCTACTTCCAGATGTGATCGTACACCTTGGATGGTGACTCACTTACAAGAAGGCAACTCCGAATGCAAATCCCCGCTGCAACAGGGCCAGCAAGCTGGCAGAGGAAGCAAAGTGTTAAAAAAAGAAAAAACAAAGGAAAAAAGGGAGAAAAAAATCTGATATACCGCCAACTGTACGGCAGATCAACTGTACGGCAAATGAACTGTATAGCAGACCAACTGGATGACAGACCATCTGCATTACAGTTTGCCAAATGGTCTCTTCGTGATGACTTTCCATTACAGCGGACAGAACAACAGAAAATAATAAATATCAATTTTACTTACTATCATTTTGTATAAATTATTTAAACAATTGCGTATGAATTTTGCAAACATTCTCGAAGGCTCATAATAGTTCTTATGTATAGGATTTAATATTTGAAACATAATGAATAATAATAAACGACCCCTAAAACTAAGGTTTTGGTATAAATCCTTTATAAAATCAAATATCGAGCAATGGGGATGGGACTGATATTTGACAAAACATGCATACAAGTAACGCACTTAGTGATCCCCACCCCAAAGGCGCGCAACCGCACATTTTTTTCACTCCCCTGAACTATATGACCCACCCACTTTTACACCGCAGATTTATTTCAGAAAAAAAAAAGAAGAAAATATTACGCGCCAAACACACTTGCTGTATTTTTTAAAAAAAGAATCTCATCTAGCGCAATTATCTGGAATTTTATTTAGTGAAATTAGTGTCATCATGTTTCTTCATCTTCCCCTTGAAAAACAGATTTTTAGGGGTTGGGGTAGGGCTGAAAATTTGAGGGAATGTGTTGTCATTGGCAATGAGTCTACGTGCCAAGTTTCAGCTCAATAGCTTGACGGGGAGTGGGTCAATTAGCTGTCTGAAGGTTTTGCCAGCCACAAACAAAAGCCAAGTTAATGAGTATTGGTATTGCTGCATGGCTACAAGATCACTCCTCTATAGTATTGTCTTTGTTTTCAATTAGACAGAAATGATGTATATCAAGGTTCAGCTCTGCATAGTTCACTGAGCTCTCCTCACCAGCTTGGCCAGGCTCTTAAACAATTGATCACGTTTGATGATTATAAAAATTCAATATTTTATCATTTCAAGGCTGGGAGATGAACCAAATTAATAAGGTTAAACTTTGAAGTGACCACTAACCGTAAATTTGTTTGAGAAACATTGGTGTCCCTGAGCATTTGACAACACCCTCTGCCATGATCATGATTCTGTCCCCCAGAATGTCCGCCTCATCCATGTAATGGGTTGTAAGGAGAATGGTACGCCCATGGCGCATGTCTTTCAGGAAGTCCCAGAGTTCACGTCGAGCACTGGGGTCAAGGCCAGATGATGGCTCATCAAGGAATACAGTCTTGAACAAAATAATAAAAAACGCACATCTTCATCGCCATAGGAACAAAGAAATCTAGTTATAAACAAAATCCCATTCCAGTTTTAACAGCTAGCCATTCAACAGCTTCCTTGACAAGGTTTCTCACCTCACCAATACACTTTATTCATCAGGTTCTAACACAACATAATGCATGAACTCTTCCATAGTATTAACTCTTTAATTTTTTTTACTTTTACTCAGTTACATGAGGACTAGCTGAAAGATCAACAAATATTTAGTACTGATACACCTGGAGCTTAGTGCACCCCAGGAAGTTTCGTGTTTCGTACAAAATTACTCATAACAGCTTGGAGAGTTTCTGACAAAATTACACATAACTGCTTGGAAAGATAAAAGAAAGCCTTTTCACCCCCAAGATATGATTTACTTATTGAGGGTGCAAAGGCATCATATGGGTCCTGAAACCCATGCGGCTGTGGATGGAAGGGGTTACGGGTCATTTATTTAAGATGCCTAAAGTTGTGACGTTGAAGAGGGAATTTAAAGGATATATTTTATATTGCTTTGAACAGCTGGATTAAAAACAAAACATGAAAAGTTGCAGAAGACCTCCAATATGCACCTGGCAGCTCTGGGAATCGATTTGGTTTCAACCAGGTGATGGAAATAGGGCATTGCAAAAAATGTGTGTGGGGGGCAAAGGGGCAGTCAATGCAGGCGTCAGCCTCAGGGAGCGTAAAATTCGTAAATTATCCTTATCTATTTAAATAGTCCTGTATTCACAAGCATAGAAAAAAAGGATTGGATTTTTACCTTATTATTTCCAATAAATGCGCATGCTACAGAGAGTTTCCGTCTCTGACCACCAGACAAGTTGATTGCATATGAAGACATCTTCTGCGCCAGTCCTACTTTGCTCAGCATGTCCTCGATTTCATATTTGGACGTTGCATGATACTGTCCCCGCAACTGTTTTAAAAAGAAGAAAATATTCTGAAGGCAAAAAAATGTATAAAGTAGGATCGTAATAACTATGGAGCCAAACAATTAAACAGATACATTGTGTAAAGAGGGAATTTTAACCAGGGATGCCCTGGGTACGTTAAAAAAAAAAGAAAGTTAAACCCATAATTTCATAGAACTTAAGACTTATTCTTCTAAGAAAGCTGTTCCCTACCCTTTTTTTTTATTGTCCTAAACCCCTTAATTAGTCTTTTTGTTTATGATTACCCCCTTCCTTACCCCTATTTATCCCTTAAATTGTATTTTAAAGTGATTCTCTAAATTATCATATGAAGCAGATTAGAGACCGACCGAAAGTGATTTTCTGATTTCGGCCGAAGCCGAAAATAGGCAGAAAGTTTAAAATGACTTTCGGCCGAAAACGAAAAAAACTATAGACATAGACAGGGTTACCCTTAGAAAAAACGCCAGGTGATCTTTACAGGTAAGTTTGTTAAACAAGATGTCATGCTGCGGGCACAGTCCAAGACTTGACCTCGCCTGGCTCAAGTTTTTGGTGATGTCATAACCATTGACTATAGCCGTGCCTCTTGTGGGTTTGAGAAATCCTGGGAGATATTAAACGTGTAATTGCAGAAGCAAGTAAGGGCCAGTTGGGTTAGGATCACAGTTAGACTAATAAGAATCAACGAATATTTTTACCTGTCAAAACGGATTGATGTTTTCATAAACTGAAAAATTATAGATTTCAGCCAATGAAAACTCATAATTATCAACAAATGCAGAGACTATTATATCTTAAAAATTCTTTTCTTAATGTATAGGGGGAAAAAATGAGAGAATGAATATTCTGAAAATGCAATGCTGTTCCAACTGTGTCTCATCAGACAGTCTTAGTAAGGTAATAATTTTAGCCGAGATGAATATTAAACCTGTTTTTTTGTTGGGGCATACTCGTGACCATTTGCTACAGGGCTCTGACCATACGTGTACCTGTAATCATACTTATCGTGGTCGTCTTTCCTGCCCCATTGTGCCCCAACAGCACTGAGATCTGGTCCTGATACAAGTCCATGCTGGTCCCAGCCACAGCGACATTGCTTCCAAACACCTGGCGTCAATAATGACAAACAAATAAAATAAGCGTCCGATTAATACGAAAAGTGACAATTATATATAATTTATTAATTAATCAATATAATTATAAATATTATTATATAGCTATTCTTGGCTATTTACTGACAAAATGATCTTGCAAATTTGGTATGCACTACAACATTATCTCTAAACCTATATAAATTTTTTTGTTTTTCATTAGAAAATCTTGCTTTTGGTATGGAATTAAAGGGGAATTCATGCTCTTTACAGACAATACAGACTTAGGTTTTAATTTTAATATATAAATGTGATTTTTATATAAAGAAAAAAAAAATTAAAACTCACCGAATGTTTGCAACATGCTCATTCTATATAACACAAAGAGAACTTTATAATCCAAAGTGGAACAAAAATGTTTTTTTTCTTAAGTATGTCCATATGTGCATCACAAAGAATAAAGATCACATTTAAAAAAAGACCAAATGAAGCACCAGAGACATTATCCACTGTCACAGCCACACAAAAAATGTCAGAAAAAAACTAACTATTTCCACTGCAAACAATTTGTTGCTACTAGAAAATATTTGCATAATATCCTAGTATTTATTAACATTTTTTATGGTACATGGAAAATTTACCATAAATTTGTCATATCTTTTCATCTGGGTTTAGCTATGGTAAGCCTGAAAATAATCCATAAGATGGATGTGCAGATTTGATTCACATCCAGCACAAACATATCCAGTTCACCCTGTTCTACAGTGTTTCCCCACTCACTGTCCTTTTTGGAGTCAATCAGCCCATGTTTTGCTCTGATAAGTCTCTCAATTGCACAGAGACTCCATGACCATGGCCTGGAACTTCCGAATCCCCCCCCCCCCCCCCCCCCCCGCCCCACCCCCCCTCCGCGATAATGGTTGGTGGCTCTATATTCTATTAATCTGGCCTTGTGAGTATGTGAGTTTAATATAATAAGCTAAATTTTACATTAATTTTCTGTAGCATGTAGAGTCTGAAAAGTGATATAAGGGTTCAAATAGTACTCTCTGAAACATTGTGACATCGTAGGGTGTATACATCCAGTGGACCAAAGGTAATGAAAAAATGGTCTATGGACAAGAGTTCATAGTTCATCCCCATCATTTTTGTTACCGGTACTGCTAGAAATTTTATAGGTTTCATAATTATTGACAGGTTTCCAGTCTTTAAAAATATATCTCTTGCATGTTGAATGATGTTGGAGTGTTGATTTTAATTCTGTAGGAAGCATACTCATTTAACATTTAATAATTTATTATTGAGAGTACAAACTCAACAAACAAGCTTGTGAATAATAATATGTGTGTCTTGGCTAGCAAACTAAGAAACCAACATTCAAGTTCCTTTGACTTACTTACTTATCACAAGCTCCAAATGTACACCTACATTTTTTTAAGGTAAAAATCTGAAATTGTACTCAGTTTTAGTGTCAAGATCACGAGTTTTCCAATTAGAATCTTTGTCTTCATTATTTATATCTTAATATAGTATAGCCGTATATATAGTATATATAGTATATATATTAGCTCCTCTTCAAGGCCCCTTAGCTTGGGGTGGGGCTGGTTGTTCATCAGCTGCCTGAGCCTGATGTGTTATCAACTTGATTTTTAATATTACTTCCGGAAACTTTCATTACTATTTAACTACTACCAGTAATAGACCTAGTACAACGACTACATATTCGCCTAAACCATTTGACATTTTGTATTACTACTATTACTATATTAGTAGCAAATTTAACAATACTAAATTTTTAAAATAGTTAGTTACAGTCGTCTGTAGTACTACTAGTAGTCAGTAGTTATAATTATAATTATTGGCATTGGATTCATCAGAATCATCGTCCTCAGCATCCGAAATCATACAATCGCTGTGTGAATCGTCATCATTGTAATATTTTATACTTTAATTAGATCCATCGCCAGATGGGCCAGGTCATTGTAAACAAAAATAAAATAGATAATCAAAACAATCTTTTTTTTTACCATTTTATTCGTTTTTAAAAACTTGCACGAAAGAAAATCCGGATGTTTATGAAAGGGAAATCATTCTAGATTTGATTAAAAGTATTTTTTCTAAGAAAATAAACGAAACAAACTGGTTTTTATATGCCATTGACACAGAAATGTCATTTAAAATCGACGATTTTCAATCGAAGCGTTGATCCGGAGAGAAAAAAAGTTAAATCCCTTATATAAACTTCACTTTTGTTCGGTGTTTCTGGCTGGCAGATCTTCGGACGGTCACTTGACCCACTAAACTTCTCGTCACCATATCCAGCTGAAACTGGCACATAGACTCATCGTTGCCGATGACAACACATTCTGTTTAATTTTCAGCCCCACCACCCAAATCCCTAAAATCGGTTCTTCATGTTTTTCAAGAGAAAGATGAAGGAAATATGACGACACTGATTTCACGAAATGAAATTTCCGATAACTGCCCTAGATTAGATTCTTTTAAAAAAAATAATTATAATTCGCACCCCAAGTGAGTTTGGTGCGTAATATTTTCTTTAGCTCTTCTGAAATAGTTGGTGAAATAAATCTGCGGCGTAAGAGTGAGTGGGCCAGGCCATTAAGATATTGATATAGTTCGGGGGCGGAAAAACAATGTTGCCAAGTCTCTGACCAAGTCTGCTTTTCTCTGATCAAGTGTACACTGCTACTTTTCTCTGACCAAGTGTACATGCTACTTTTCACTGACCAAGTGTACATGCTACTTTTCTCTGACCAAGTGTACACTGCTACTTTTCTCTGACCAAGTGTACATGCTACTTTTCTCTGACCAAGTGTAGCCTACATGCTACTTTTCTCTGACCAAGTGCACACTGCTACTTTTCTCTGACCAAGTGCACACTGCTACTTTTCTCTGACCAAGTGTACACTGCTACTTTTCTCTGACCAAGTGTACACTGCTACTTTTCTCTGACCAAGTGTACACTGCTACTCTTCTCTAACCAAGGTTACACTGCTACATTTAGGTAAACAAATAAAATACGAGGAAATAAAGATGCTTTAGACTTCCCCGTTTTAGAGCGTGAGCAGTCCACCCCCCCCCCTTTCCTTTTTTTCTTCTCCATGCTTAGTGTGTGACGTCATTTATGGACGGCCCCTTAATAAACTACATTAAAACGCCTCGAGCGTGACCCAAAGGGACATAATCCGTGGTGGGTAATGTACTCTACGATCGTGCGGTAAACTTTAAATCCGTGCCAGGAAGGGTCACGTGAACAGCTGACGATGCCTACCTTAACCAAGTCGCGCACCATGACCCCGGGTATCACGTCTGAAGGCGGGGGCTCAAACAAGCGAGGATCTTTCTTTGGGAGCTCAGCAATGTCCGCAGTTGGTTCGGGGGCAGGATACCAGTAGTCCTTCTGTCAAATGGTTTTAGGATTTTTTTTTTAAAAAAAATGTAAAAAAAGATTGCGATCTAACCTGAAGCAGAATTTCGGGGTCACAGAAAAGCCTACTGTTCTGAATCACAAATGTCAACATTTTATAGGGACGGCATTGTGTGCAATTCACTATTAGCAAAGTTTTCCATCATCTCATTAAAAAATCGGAACTCTTTAACATTTTCTGTACTATGATGTCTGCTTCTAAAATCAATAGTGAGTGGATTTTTTTGTTTCTAGACAAGGATCCCCACTTTCTACTTCACGTGATTTTTTTTATACAAAGCTAGTTTTGTTAGGGGTAATATTCTATACTTTGCATAGATTGTTGCGGCGTGATAACCAACAAAACAAAAATACCACAGTCGAATTCAGCGGGAGGCAAAGAATCGCCTGGCTGCTTGCTTGCTTCAGCTACAATTGCGACGCCATCCCCTCAAAAACATTCATTCACCTTACCCCCCCCCCCACACGGGGTGCCGCCCAACCCTTGCCCCGGCTTCCTACCCCACGGCTTACCGTGATGAAGAAGTTATAGGGCTGGGGTACTCCATATTCGCCTGGATTCACGCTGTCCACGTACCACACTATGAACATGTTGAACAGCGAGTTTGTTAGTAGAATCAAGATACCGTCCAAACTGGTCTGGTGGGGTGTCGTCTTATTCTCAAGTATAGAAGCCAACGTCTGTTCTCTGTCTTAAGGTTACAGTGTTTGAGACCATTATAATCATTATAGAAGTGCTTGAAACCATTAAAATGATGACGAAAGTGTTTGAGACATTATCATCACAGTGAAAATGTTTGAGACCGCCATAATAATGTTGAAGGTGTTTTAGACCATTGTAATCATGATGAGGGTGTGGCTATAATCACCTGAGTGCTCCAGTTAATCATTGTTCCTGCTCACCACAGAGTATGTGCCGCCCAGGGTGGAAGTCTACCACCCGGGTCCAAAAACCCACCCCCCCCCATCTTTAAATGATTGGTTCCATGATTTCAAAGATAAGAATAAAATAACATACATATCATTCTCTAAGTTTAAAAAAAAAAAAAAACACACTTTCTCCTTACCTCTCTGTTCCGATCCCAAAAAATTGTTCAGAAAAATATTGAATCCAACTTGGGGCACGACCGTGCCCACGGCCATGGTGGTCAGTCTGGACGTCGTGTACGTAAGAATCAGCTTGGAGCTAAACCACGTGAGTATAAAGACTGTCGCGGACACCACCACTGCGTTACGTGCTACCCAAACAAAACAACAACAACAAGATGACAGACGATTGGTTGAGTAGCATAGTTTATAAAATCGTGGCATTGACTATTCATCACAAATAATTTGATTTTTTAATTGAATCCTGAAAAGTTGCATCTTCAAGACAGAATTGTGATTTGAAAAATTAATTAGTCTGTTCTAATTTTTAAATTTTTTTTTTAACATATGTTATATTCATGAATATTCATTGTGTTTCTTATTTTAAAATCATCTGTTCACACTTCCTTGGTTTCTCTATTAAATATTTATACTGCTGTGGGCAAAAGGTGGGGCTTTCTTGTATTATTTTTCTTGTT